GACCGAGATGGGGGTCGAGGGAGGCGCGGGCAGGGGCCGCCGGGGCCCCCTCGTTTGCGAGGCCGGCCCGAGGCCCGCCCGGCCGCGAAGGAGCGTGCGGAGGAGGGCGGCCAACCGGGTGTCTGTCCCCGTCCAGCCGAAGGGGAAGAAGGCCAAGGGGAAGAAGGTGGCCCCAGCGCCTGCCGTCGTGAAGAAGCAGGAGGCCAAGAAGGTGGTGAACCCGCTGTTCGAGAAGAGGCCGAAGAACTTCGGCATCGGTGAGTGGGAGGCGGGGTGACGCCGGCTTTGTCTTCCGTCCTCTAGCAGCACAGTGGCTCACGGGGCGGGCGGTGGCGGGTGCAGCCCGGCCGTCAGGGGACACCGGCTGGAAGAGGCGCCGCCGGTCTGCCCCGGGGCTGTCGGCGTTCGTGTGCAGATGATGTGAAAGAATATTTGCTATCTGAAAGACGGTGATGACGTTTTAAACCACCAAGATCGCTGATGCACCGGTACCCTTCTGAACGACCCCACGCATGAGCTCGACACGGAGTTTGAGCCTTATTCCTACTTGCTGTCACCCTTCATTTTTCAGGACAGGATATCCAGCCCAAAAGGGACCTCACGCGCTTTGTCAAATGGCCCCGCTACATCCGCCTGCAGCGACAAAGGGCCATTCTCTATAAGCGGCTGAAAGTGCCTCCTGCGATTAACCAGTTCACACAGGCCTTGGACCGCCAAACAGGTGAGGTTCCATGGTATGTATGGAGCCAGGATTTGGGAAGGCAGGATATAGCTCACATCTTTACTTTGACAGTAGTACATGCAACTGAGGCTTTGGGTGGAGGTAGGGGGAGTTTTCGGGTAGATTGGTTTATAAAATCTAGGATTCCTTTAATTCTGGGAACATGAAGTTTGCCTAACTGAAGAGACTGTATACACGACTTCAGATTTCTTGAACTGCACTTGCTATTATACCTTGATTACTCTTGTTATTCTATTACACAATGATATTATTACGTTATTATATATTGTTATTACACCAGGACAGCGGCCTGGCATTTACATTAAGTGACAAAGATTAGAACTTAGAATACGAGTCTAAACTCAAGAGTGTTTTTCTAGCTACTCAACTGCTTAAGCTGGCCCACAAGTACAGACCAGAGACAAAGCAAGAGAAGAAGCAAAGACTGTTGGCTCGGGCTGAGAAGAAAGCTGCAGGCAAAGGGGATGTCCCCACAAAGAGGCCACCTGTCCTTCGAGCAGGTAAGTGGGTCTCTCCTTAGAAAGGGTGAATGGTGGGGCCGGCTGTTGCAATGATGCATGAATTTCTTCACCTGAAGTCACTGTGGAGAGTAAAATCCGAGCTTTTTAACACTGAGTCACAGCTGGGTCCAACTGGTCACAACTTGTGGCCAGAGCAGCCCCCTGTGAGTGCTCTACAAAGTGTTGTGTGTTTTAGGAGTTAATACTGTCACCACCCTGGTGGAGAACAAGAAGGCTCAGCTGGTAGTGATTGCACATGACGTGGATCCCATTGAGGTGCGTTTGACCTGTTTTTAAACATTGATTGCTAAAGCTAGGGTTTTTGTGTCACTACCAGGAAATAGGCACAATACTGAGGCTGCCATGTTAAAAAGCCAGTGTCGGATGGCCAGTATGGTCACCTTTACTTTTGGGGGCAGTACTGACAAGGAATCCAAGTGCACAGCTCTTGAAGTGATGTGAATCTCTCACTGAATTAAACCTTGAAGTGCAACTATATGAGCTTTTTAACCCTGAGCAATTGCTGGCAAGCTGGCTTTCGCTTTACTGCTTCTGGTCAGAATATGCTCTCCTAAGCTAATCGATTTCTTCCAGCTGGTTGTTTTCCTGCCTGCCCTGTGCCGTAAGATGGGAGTCCCCTACTGCATTATCAAGGGGAAGGCCAGACTGGGACGACTAGTCCACAGGAAAACCTGCACCACCGTAGCCTTCACACAGGTTAACTCGTAAGTACGCAACCTAGTCCCAGACATTCCCCAGTTCATTAATCTTATATGTCAGGATTTTTTGCCTTGAAGACCAACATTCAGCCTTAAGAATACATTTATCTGAACCTTTGCCAATGATGGTTAAGAATTTCTTCACCTGAATGAGCCGTGTGGTCATATCGTATCTGAGGCAAAAGGCTTGTGTTTGGAGCTTTAAAGAAAAAAAAAAAAAGAATCATTCATGGGCCAGCCCATGGCTTACTTGGGAGAGCGTGGTGCTGGCAACACCAAGTCAACGGTTACAATCCCCTTGCCAATCATCTTTAAAGAAAAAAAAAAATCATTCATGCTTTCTAGAAGGATAATTTGAGAGGCCCAAAGTCTACATCCCCCACCCTTTCTTGTTAGGGAAGACAAAGGAGCTCTGGCTAAGCTGGTGGAAGCCATCAGGACCAACTACAACGACAGATATGATGAGGTAAGGAACAGCTTCACACAAAATATTTTCTGGGGCAACAGCCAAGTAGAACAGCGGTAACCAGCAGGCTTTGAAAGCCTCAGAAAACAAGGCATGCTGACTGCTGCTTCTGTCCTTTCAGATCCGCCGTCACTGGGGAGGCAACGTCCTGGGCCCGAAATCTGTGGCTCGCATTGCCAAGCTGGAAAAGGCAAAGGCTAAAGAACTTGCCACTAAACTGGGTTAAATGTACACTGTTGAGTTTTCTGTACATAAAGATAATAAAAATTTTCCTTCTGCCAGGGCCTATTTGGCTTTTTTTTTTTTTTTTTTTTTTTTTTTTTTTGGTGGCTGGCTGGTACAGGGATCCACAAGCCCTTAACCTTGGTGTTGTCAGCACCATGCTCTAACCAAATGAGGTAACCAAACAGGCCTTTTGGGCAAGTACATTTTAAAACCAGGAGCCTTGTCCCCTACCTATACACGGGGCCAGAGTTCTGCCAAATTTACTATGTAATTTACATGTCAGGTTTTGAAAAAAACACTTTAAACCTTTTAAATAACAATCTTGCATCACTTCTCCAGCTTTTTTTTTGTTGTTGAAAACTAAAACACATTATCCTGGGCCTACAGTCAGGGTCATTAATCACTCTTCCACTGAAGGTAGCACGCACTGCCTTCAAGAACACCTCCCAGAGAATCTGCCCAAGGCTGTTTTACAACTCACAGCCTGTACGGGGGGGATACTACAAATGCTGAGGATGCGTTTGCCCTGCATGTAACACTGACGCTTTTAGGGAATAGGAATTTTTCAGTGCCATCATAATCCATCACAGTCTGTCCTTGGCTAAAATGTCATTGGGTGCATGACTATACATTGAAACCCAAACCAGCATTTTATAATCAACCAGTCACTCATTTCAGGTAGAAAGAAAGGTACACATGAGCTCAGAAATTTTATTTACACCAACAGTACACGATCAAGTATAAAGCCATTCTCTTGAAGTAATGTCTTGAGTGACTTCCTAATTATACAGGCACAGGGCTCTAAAAGCTGACCTCATCACATACCAGGTGTTCGACGCAGGAATTTCTTAAACCACAGGTATGATGTGGCTGCACAGAGTCCATACCTTGGGTTGAAAGACAGTTGTACTGTTAGCCTGTGTCAGTGTCCTAAAGGGGAGGGAACCAGGGGACAGCTGGGACTCACCAGGTAATGATGTACTGCATGTGCTCATTCCTCAGAGTAACTCGGGTTTGCCCTCCAATGGGTCCTCCAGGTACTGTGCTCTCTGCAGGGACAGTGGGCTCATTCCTCACAACCTCTGGTGCTGGCCACCAGCCTTAGCACTGGTCCCCTACAGCTGTCATTTCTGCATGGGCTTTTATCTCTGATCAACCATCCCATGTTGCCTCCTTTTCTTAGCAGTTTTGCTTAGATGCCAAGTTGCCACCGCCTGTTCCCCCACCCTCCACCTGCCCCAACAAAGGCTACAGCAGAGGCAACAGAGAAGAATGGGGTTCAGAGAAAGACAAGGTATTTACAAAAGCTATCTTCCGGGGTGGGCTGGTTACAACGTACGGAAGTTGGCATCAATGAAAACGGGGTCTGCGCCTGTGATCCTGGCCATGGCCTCCAGGTCCCGGTAGTACCAGTGGTTCCTTTCCGGATTGTTCTCTGGGACAAAGGGCTTCCTGGTTTCTGTCAGCCTCACCATCCCAACTAGGTCCACTTCTCCGTCAATCTATAAGGAAGGTGTGAGATTGCTCTTCGGGGGAGCCCTGCATGGAGACTAGATGACTCCTACAGGCCCTTATGCAAGTGGGGAAGAGTGCATGTCCCTTACCTGGCCTTTCTGCCGAGTATCAGGATTCATTTTCTTCCTGGGGACAAACCCTCTATTGACCAGGATGGTGATTCTAGAGTAATAAACATGCTATGTCAAGTGAGGAAGGGTTTTGGAATAAAGACAATCAGTAGTAGTGTCTCAGGCATCTACAGGAACACTATAGCATCAAGGAAGGGATTTAAAACACGACACTGTCAGTAGAAGTGAGCCCTAGCAGTGCCACACTCAGGGAAAGTATTCCTCTCTTGTGCCCCTTGATGATAAAAGCCCCCATCCAACCCCTTTCTACCAGCCTGGCTTCTGGTTAACTCCCCTCTGTCTCTGCTTCTTTCCTTTCTTGTGTCCCACCCACCGCACAGCCAGAGTTAAGATGCCCAACTCTCCCTTGAACCACATCAACAGTTGCCTCCAACCTCCCCCTCCTAACCAGGGCAGCCACAAGGAGCAGCCCTGGCCCATGTCAGTCTGCCAGAGGTACAGCATTTGGGCCCCAGCCCAGGCCTAAAACACAAGATCCTGTGGGTTAACAGGCCCCCAAACTTTTTCATTCATACATCAGTCTTACAGGCCCCTAATCACACAGGCCCTAACTTATGTGTCACTGTCTTTGCCTGGAATGTTCTTCCCATCTCCAGTCAAGATTTGGCCCAAACAGCCCCCTGAGCAGCCTTCCCTGACTCAACTCCCTCTAGGCAGAATTGGGGGCTTTTCTCAACTTCCTCTTGCCAGCCCCTCATGCTGCACCAGTCATTTAATGTGCTGGCCCCCAGTCTCCAGAGAAGGGACCTCTTTCACTAGTCTCTCCTCCCTTAGCTTAACATACAGAAGTTGTTCGGTAACAAATGAACTGGCTGAGAAGGTTGCTTATTAATCAATATCAAAATTAGGAATTTCAAACTTTTCAAGGAATTGAACCTTTCCAGGTATCTCAGATTTCCCAATGTTTTACCAAGACTGGGGGATGGGAAGGAAATAGTGATGAAAACTAGTACACACAGCCTGCACCTGCAACACCAGTCAGCTCCCTGCATGGCCTACTCACCCCAGGTCACTGCAGTGGAAGGGGGTGACCACATAGGCCCCATTCTCAGTTGAGGAGGAGATCCGGCCCGCTTCCTGGGCCTCTCGGGCAGGGTCCACCATGGTTCGGGGCATTATGTACAGCTCTTTGGAGTGGTCAAAGTGCCCCCTGACCTTCACTGGCCTATACTCCAGATTTTTCAGTTCCATTGGGCTACGGAGAGGAGAGAAAAGCTGTGGCCAAGCAAAGTGTGTCAGGAAAAGAAATCCTCTAAGGGGGGTTGCAAACTACAAAGCCCACGAAGGCCAGGCAAGTAATGTAGAAAGGTGAAGGCAGGGCACAGTGCGGACTGTTGGATCACAGGGTGCGCCCTCTTATGGGGGGTGCTATTTCTAAGCCTCAGCCTTTTGTTGCCACGCGGGAATGTGGATCTGTGCTGCCAGAGTCCAATTTTTCAAGAGAAGCTAAAAATGTGGACTTCTAGATGAATATTTTATATGAAATAAAATAAGTAGGCCAAAAACCTATCTGCAAGCCAGATATGGCATACTGTGTGCTACCCCAATTGGAACACTGTGGGATGTACCTGTCTCTAGGACAGTGCTTCTGAATAGTGGGGAGAGGGCAGTAGAATCATTCAGGGCACTTTTTCAAAATACCACCCCCATGTTGAGACCTATGTAATCCACCCTCACCCTCAAGCTAAGAATTGCTGCTATAGGGGGCCATTAGCACTGTAAGGGATCCCTCAAGTATGCTGGACCTGATAAAAGGGTCACACCAGGATCAAAAATGAGACTTTTCCATAAATCTCAGGCAGCTTCACAAGGGCAATCAGGTGTGAACAGCAAGTCCAGCAGGAGCACTGATCTTCAGAGCTCCTGTCTGAGGGCAAGGAAGGAACTGACAAAGTTCACGTGAAGAGGGTCAGAATGGCAAGCAGAAGCCAGAGCTCCACTGTCGACCTCAAGTGCGACCAGCCCTGACTGGGCAGCCGCACACTCACTCTGCTGGCAGAGGGATGGGCTCAGCCATAACCCTAGATTCTAACTCTGCAATCAGTTTCAGCTTCCACTCCCGACGCTGGACCTGTGGAAACAGAGCATAAACCTGAACAGACAGCAGCAGAGTCACTCAGTGCCACCAAAACTAGATGCCAGTCTTTACCTGCCATGTCCCCAAACCAAAGGCAGTCACAGGGATGAGAAGCAGGAACCACTGGAGAAAGGAGTCGTCATCCACTTTTGTGGCAGGTGCTTCTGTGGTAGAACTGCCATGCTTGCTTGCCCTCCAGGCCACCCCTGGAGGAAGTTTCAACACTGGCATGGGGTCAGAGCCCTAGAGCAAATAGAACTGCAGCAGCCCATTCCTCCAGAAGTCTCCACCAATATTGCCCGAGAAAAGGTGGTAGAGAACGAACAAGTTGAGACCTGCCGTCCGGGGCCAACTAGCCACACGTGTCCAGCCCCACTCCTACCCAGTGTCTGGCACATGACACACACTCAGGAATGTCTGACTGAAAAATGAGGTCTTGGGCTTAGTGCTGGCTCTGCCACCAGCCATGACCCTGGGTAACTCATATAACCACCTCACACCTTTTTGTTCCAGAATATGCTAAGATAGATTCTACTGCACTATAAGATGCACGGTTATTCACTCATTCATTCAAAGAGCATTTAATGAGGAGCTACGGTTAATAAGTAGCTTACCCCGGCACTACTGTCTATTGTGCTATGTAGACAAAGACCCATGGTACAAACTCAGGATAGTGGCTTACAGAGCTCTCTCCACAGTTTTCTTTTTGACTGTCATAAGTTTAAAGACGGGACGAGGTACGCAGCAGTACCCTCAAGCTCTCTGGCCGAGGGTAAGTCCCACCGGCCGAGCGCATCCCAGGCCCCGTGCGGTAGGCAGGCCCGCCCGGCGCCGACCCACAGGCGCCCGCTATTTGTGTGCAGCAGTCCCCACACGGCGGACCCCCTGCGCGCTCCGAAGGCAGCGCAGGGACTGGTGGCTGGGAGCGCGCTACTCCAGCATGCCGGACCCCGGGCTCCCCGCTCGGCAGCTGGGTGAGGCGCCGGGCCGCCCCCGAGCCCCTGCAGCCCGAG